ACAGGAGACAAGACAAAACCTACTCCCATCCTCTCTGCAGCTTCCTGCTCCAGGGCCAGTAAAGATATACGACAATGGCTGGGTCTGAGCCACGGGCATTGCTTGTAATTGTGGCTACTTCTTCTCTTGTGTGATAACGTGGTTCCAGTTACAAGCTAATTATTCCTGCCTCTGCGTACTATATCCTCGGTGAAGCAGGTGTGCCTTGCTGCAGTGAGCAGGGGAAGGAGGGCAGGAACCGAGGGATAGACAACAAGTAGCAGGATCCCTTCTGTGGCAGAGGGAGAGACATCTGCAAACTTTCCTGGGGAGCAGGCTCTAATATGACGCCTTCTCTATAAGCACCATGGACCAGCCCCTGCATTCAGAAAGGTAGGGCTACAGGGTATGGACCTGATGAGATTTCCAAATAGTGCTGGGATTCTCCATGCACCACATTAGTGGGGTTTGTAGGGCCCAGAAATCATAATCTGCTGTAATTAGGTGGGTGGTCATCTGGCAAGCATGAATTTGAGCTCACTTTCTGGAAATAGGCACTGGTGACCGCTTGGGAAAAAAAAAATCAAGCCTGTGGTAATGGCTGAGGATTTCTGACCTTTGCTCTAACATTTCAAATTTGTTTTTATTGCTTCTAATTGGCCTTGCTTTGGAGCACGCACATTATCTAACTGCCAGGGCACTGGCTGTCATTATCTGCTGGGCCATTTGATTTGTGTTTTTTACATTTGAAACTTGTCAGACATTCCCAGAAAATACTGCGCTCCCCTTGCAGTGTCAAATATGGGCCTGGTTAATTGCGCATCCCTGAGAGTGAAGCATTTGAAGTAATCAGGCATTGATTGTTTAGCTGAGATGGACGCAATGGAAACGCGTCTCCTCTGTATGGAGGGGAAAGTGTAAAAATTAGATCAGCAACTACATGACAGCAGCCAGATTTCTTGGTTTCAGGGATCAGAGGTTAGCCATTTTCCAGCCTTGATGATTCATTTTTGATCCCACTCACGTGGCTTGGGTAACTTCATTTTCTCCTCCCTTTGCAATTCAAACACAAATCCTCTTCTGTTTTGGCCCTCTTCAATATACCAGCTGCAAAGTCACTAATTCAAATCTATTGCTCCCCACCTCAACTTGCTTCACCAGATGGAAACAGAAGTCAAGAAATGCATGTGTGTGAAAGGGCTCAAAGTGCCACAGTGGCACATGTGTGCCTATGGCGTTTGCTTTGTAAAGCTCAGCTCATCTAAAACATTAGCCCAGTTTGTAAGTCTGCTGATTCATTTTAAGACCTTGAGGGTTTAAGGTTTCCTAACAGAAATTCAAATACAGTTGTTTTAGATGTGAACATGTACACTACACTTGGTGTAGATGTATATAGGGCTTGTCTTCCTGCAGATGGGCTGAGAGAGCTACAGGAAGCAATAGGAATATCCCCATTTTGCAGAATGTAAAAAAGAGCATTGCTGGAAACACCAAGATGTTAGACCTCAATGTGAATTATGCATCTGCCGTATTTAGATAGAAGCAATTTTGCTGTTGAAATCAGAGATTGGCATTTTTTTCCCATGGGGTTCTGTAACTAAAAATTGTGTTGAGATCAAGCATGTAGTGGGGGGTTTTTTTAGCTGTAAAGGTGAATGTATTCAAATTATTCAAGTGGTGATTTTTTGGATATACAATTAGTTGACTGAGAGATGTGGTATACATTTGGTATTGTAATTGCTATGCCTCTGAGATTTCAATTTGCAAAACAGTTTGCATGGCTGCAAGATTAACTGTTGTAAGTGCGATGAGCATGCAGCACAGTTGTGATTTGATCATGACTGTCTGTCAATTGGCTGTATGTCCAAAAAAATCATTTTGTCATAAGTACCTGATGTGAACAGAGTGGTTGATACTCACGATGCTTCAGTTCAGTGGATACCTGGATGGCTGCTAAAAAAGGCCAGTGTCTAAAATTCCCACCTGTAAGTGCTGTTGGTTAGACAGGGTTTCCTTTATCTGTGTTACCCAAATCATGAAAAAGGAAGGATTTTTAAGACCCATATTTTTATCCTCTTTGCACGTTTCATATTATATTGTTTCCCTCGCTTGCAGAGAGGAGAATGGGAGCAACGCTCAGCAGCACTGCTCTAGCAGACTGGACTAGTGGGTGCAGAGAAATCAGTGTCTGTACGGAAGAGCCAGCCTCAGCATGGCCAGGAGGCGAGCCCTGCCTGCCCGTCCAGTGCTGGCTCTGCCCCTGGGAGCGGGCAGGCAGGCTGTCAGCAGTGACACGGGCAGTGCTGATGCAGCCCCAGGGCAGGGGATGGATTGACTGGCTGGCTTTCCTATGTTTTGTGTGATTCTCTGTTTGGTCCACAGCTGCTGCTGTGTTCGGGTCTCCAGCATTGTCTAGGAACATGTCAATGTAATTATACACAGAACCAGAGAAACCGCTTGTTCCCACTTCAGTGTGCCTTTCAGGTCTCCCTCCCAGGGTCCTCATTTATTTATTTTTGTCTCGGTGTTTATCTCTTCAAAATACCACTGTGCCTTAGGTTGCTGATTGAACTGTGGAGATGCAGTAGATGCTGAACTGGTGGCAGCTGTGACAGCAGTGAGGAGGGGAGGGCTGGTGGAGGTAAAGCCCTCTAAGCCCTGTGCCCCATCAGCCCTTACATTATTTCAAATCTTTTAAAATGTATTTTAAAGCCTCCTTCCGCAAATAAAAGCAGAAGCACTGACAAGCACACACCTGTGTGGCCGGGAAGGCAGGTTTCTCTGTGTCGCTGTGGCAGGCAGGTTTAGACGGGCCCAGTTCCTCAGGAGTGAGTCAGGGTGGCGGGATCAAGAAACCTGGGTTTCCACCTCAGCTCTTTTCCTTTCAGTTCTCCCTAAGTCTGCTGCCTGGCCTTCAGTAGGTCACTTCACTTTTGGTAACGTGGCCATGTGAATGGATAGGTCCTCCCCTTCCTAGCATTTGTGTATCAGTATGAATTGATCCAGCACCAACACAAGCTTGGCTTGGGTCCCCAGCTGCTGTAGCAAATACAGATAACTGATATTAGAGGGAGCAGACTGAGTACGTAAAACGTAGATCAGGCACAAGTAGAGGACCCTCTCTATTTGTGTCCTGCCATAGCAGTGCGGGGGGGAATGAACAAAACTGTCTGGGTATGGCAGATACTGGGGGGGGGCTAGGAGCTGTCTCAGTGGGTACCCCAAAGGTTCATCGGAGCCCCTTAGCTGGTGTGAGCAAGACTGAGAGCATGGTTTGATTTCCTTCCTTGGGATGGGAACTGATAGTCAGGTTTTGCTGCTTTTACAAAGGAGAAGCCATCAAAAGGTATATCTGCTTTTACAGCCACAGGACAGCCAGCTTGGTGAGGGAAGGTAATTCACGCTCTGCCAAGATAAGTGGGAGATGCAGCTCCATGGGGTTGGAACTTGGTACACGTAGGGGATGATGATGGCTGCTCCAAGCTGGTGCTGCTTGGGGTGAATGCGGAGGGACCCCCATCTCCACCAGCAGCCCACAGGTGGGGTTGTAGGGCTGCCTTGGCTGACAGGAACTGGTTCCTCTGGCTCCTGGTCCAGCATTTAGCTCAGAGGCACCTTTGCAGTTCCAGTGCAACCTGCCAGCGGTGGTAGGGGGCTGTGAGGCGAAGCTCCCTGCTCTGGGATGGCCCGGTGCTGGCCGAGTCTCGCTGAGCGAGGGATGGTGCTGCAGGACCCACGCCCCTTGTCATTCAGCCTCTCATCAAAGTGAGGTCTCTGGGTACAAGAGTGTGAGTTGTGCCACTTTTTGCCCAGGCCTGGCTCTGTCCAGCAGCTAGACAGACCAGGGCTGAGGCTGTCCAGTCACTTGTGCCCGTCTTGCTGTGAAACACAAGTGTCAGGACCCGGAGGGAGGAGAGGCGGTGAGAGCGCTGGGCTGTGAGATGGAGGATTTTAATTAAGGCCTCTAAGCAAAAAGGCTGTATAAGTAAATAGAATAGAAATGTTACAGAATTAACTGATAATAAAGGATATTTATTTTTCCTTAAAGTAGCAAACATTCATCTTGCACACCGTAAACACACACCCAGCAGCACTTTGTCTGGGAAACAAGTAGTGAGACTTAGCAGGAACCAAAGTGTTACAAAGTAGGTCTGTTCCCCTGGACAAGCTGTGGGAAGCCGAGGAGCTGTTTCTGCAGTGCTCAGTTGTGGTGAGCTCAGTTCTTATCCTGTGAACTCCTGGGGCATTGCTGCAAAAGTACTTCGTATTTAGCATAACTCGCTCCTTTCGAGGTCAGCAGTTAAACTCCCACTGCTCTGCTAGGACTTGTAGCTCAAAAGGTGCACTGGAAATACAACACTCCAAACAACTACTGACAACTAAAGTTTTGCATGACCGTTAGATGATTGGAGTTAACGGGCACAGAGGAATAGCAGTATCACATCAGGCTCTTTGAAGGCACTGGTCTGGATGCTGGAAGCACTGGCATCATGTGTCGGGCCACACAGTAGGTGTCTGTCACTAAAGAGTTTGGCCCCAGCTGTGAACGTCCCTGGCAGTGGGGGCAATCCACTGGTGAGCAGACCCATGAACACAGCTGTCCTGTGAACAGTATGTGCCCCAGAAGGAAATATTCACAGTGATACAAGGGTTGTTAATGAGCAGAAATGAAGTGAAACATTTCAGGCGTGTGGGGGCTGCAGTGAGGAGAAAACAGTGGTAAGTACATTAGCCCAAAGGGAAGCAGCGGGGCCCTTCTCATGGAGAGCTCAGAGCTAGCGCAAAGCCCTTGAAGTCTCCTGGAAGGACTAACCCTGCCCTGGCCAGAGAAGGATGGGACCAGCTGGTCTTTCACCACCTCTAATTTGTCTCGAGCTGCCAAAGCCTTCCTTGCAGATGCACTTCACTGTGAGACTTTACACATGGCTTCTCCTCGGAGCACACCCCACACACGGCTTACCTGCTGCTGAAACACCGCAGCATTTTACAGTACCTGTCCTCTCTCTCTCTTCCTTTGGCAGGAAAGAAAAAGCGCCGCTTTTTAAATGCACTACCCAGCGGGGCCAAGGGAACAGCCATGCTGGCGGCAAGCCAGAGAAGAGGAGCCAGGCACATCTGAAGGACCAGTCTCTCTCCACGCAGTGAGAGGATAGGAGGCTGGTCTGTGGGGTGAGGTGGAGGACCACGTCTGGATCTGGAAATGATGATGTTTCTCTTTTTTTTCCCAGACAAGTATTTCTAAGATAACAAATAGTCCAAGGAGGAAAGAGGGAGAGGGAAATTAGCTAGAAATTTTACTATTGATTCTTTTTTTATTTATAGATGGTAAATCAATTTCAGGGCTTTTTTTTTCCCCTCTTTTTTCTTTTTTTTGTCTCATCTCTGGGAAAAAAAAAGTGACTCGATAGATTTACAGAAATCATTTGCGGTGGCTGAAAAGCTATTTGTTAAAATGAGAAAGCCTCCCCTTCCTCCACCAGCTTCGCTCTCTCTCTTGAAAGGGGTAATCCATACGATGAGCTAACGAGGGAGTCCTGGCTCCCCTGCTGCACAATGTGATGTATCCCCTTTTAGTGTCAGGCTCAGAAGCTCTTATGCCAATTGCATGTGCTAGCCCTGTTAGCTTGCATTAAGAGAGCCTGATAAATAGCTTCTGGGAGTCAGGCAGGTACTCCTCAGTGTGCCGTTTATCATCTGCTGCATGGTTAGGTTTTTTGCTCTTCTATGAGATCATTTGAGGAAAGGGTCATAGAAGAAATTTTATTGTCAGGCTGCAGACATGAAACTCACTGCAAGACCTGTCTAACAGGCAGGAACCATGGTTCTCCAGCAAAAACTGGTTGGAGTCTAGAAAGACTGGACTTCCCAACAGATGTACAACTGAGACAATGTGAGCTAGGGGTAGTGCTGAAAGGGATGAACAAACAGTGTTTTGTCACTAATGTAAGAAATCCCAGGTAAAAGTTCACCATCTTCCCATTACATGGACAGCATATGAAATCTCTGCTTGAAGCCACCGCCACTAGGCAGTCTTGTCTCCTGCCTTGTGTAACTAATTGAAACATCTGCCAGTGATGTGGATTTGAAGCACAAAACAAGTGGTTCTCAAACTGGAGAGTAAAAGAGCGTGACCCTGAGGGGAGTCCAAGTGTCTCCCAGGAAACAGGAAGGGAGAGCGCACTTAGAAGTACCTCTTGCCAACCCATCAGAAGACTTGGGAAGCAGCTTCTCTTCACTGTCTTCTGCTAGGAGTTGGGCTGCAATGGTGGCTTGGAGGAGAGAAGGTGCCAAGACCCAGTGGATAGAGAAGGAAAGGATGAACCAGACCAGGGGTGAACAAAGATGAGTGAAACAAGACTGAATGAGCTCCTTTTGGTGTGGGGTGGCCCTGAAGAAGTAGTAGCCCCAGACACTCTGTTCTCTAGTAAAAGAGCTGGGTTGGTTGCTCCTCTCCTCTTTCCCAGGACTTGAGCACCATGATCTAGGAACAGAGTCAGACTCAGCTGGGTCCTTGCTCTGGCCTGTGTGCGAGAAGAACACATCCTGAGGATAAATGAAAAGGTATGAGGAAAAACTGAGAACTTTAGCCTAAAATAGACCTTCCAGGTAACTTAAATTTACTGTCCCTTGTGAAAGTACTCTGTGATTCTTTCGGCAATGGAGACCTGGCTGGAAGGCCTGAGTATGACTAACACTGAACCAAGGTGTGATCCTAGGAAGAACTGAAAGCAGCTTGGGTTGCACTTACGCAGCCAGGAAGCTAGCAGGCCCTCATGTGTGCTCATCTGTCCTTGAAAACAGTTCCAATATCTATGCCTTGATGGATAGAAGGGAGCTCTGTGTAAGGTCCTTGAGCTCCTTTCCATACAACTAAACACAAAGCAAGCAGGGTCAAGGCTGAGGTCTGCGTTCTGTGTCTCAGGACCTCACAGGCACTTCTGGAGCCCCATCACAACAGACCTCCTGGGAGCAACTGGCACATGGTTTTCCATCCAGGTAGCATTACTGCAGCCAGAAAGAGTGAGCAGGTACAAGTCAGGACAAAAATTTGGCTTTGCATGCCTCTGAAAAAGGGCAAGCTACTCAGGATCTGACAAAAGTTGAGCTGATTGTGTCTGTGCATTAGCCACCCGTTAGCTGGGCTTTCATTAGTTAGTTTCTCTCTGATAAGGGGAGCTTGGTTGAAAACAAGAAGGATATATCCCACTGAAAGGAAAATGATTTAAAACACCAAGCAAACCTGATATTGTCAGTATTTCAAGGTGAGGGGGTTAAACCATGCACGTTTTTAGGAGGAATAAAATGCTTTCATATGATGAATTCCAAGGCATCCAAAAGGCACAGTGCTGGTGCTCTGTCTCCAAAAGCAGAGTAATGAATAGCAGTGACAGTGTGATAATTAAAATGACCTCTTGGAGATATGGATTAGAAGGTACGCTGAGGGGGGATAAGTTCTCCTTTGAATTAATCTAGTGTTAATTTATGACTATCGTTGGGTTTTATAGGGTTTTAGTGGAAGACTTTCAAAGTTGGTTTACTGGGGTGATAATGTTCCTTCTGCATATTCATTGGAAAAACACTTGCAGAATTCCTCATTATTTCTTTTTGAATGGTTCTATAGATACATATATATAATGAAAGAGTTTCAGGTATTTGCTTTGCTGCTAAGAAGTCTACTCTAGAAATGTGAATAAAGTGATAAAAGCAGCTGTGGAATGAGTGTGTTGTTTCATTTTCATTCCTTTCTCCTCACAGGTCCCCAGAGTCACTTCAAAACCCAGATGTGGACAAGCGGGTTCTGGGAAGCCCTTGTGCTGCCCTGCTATCAGTTGTCAGAGGCTCCTGCTATCTGACTTGTAAAAGTCAATCTTTTAAGTTTAGATTTAATAACCAGATCTTCCTGGAAATCCCTGTCTCTGCTTCTTACTTGTCTCTTGCCACCCATATCTGCCCCACAGCCTGCAATTTCCAGGTCTTAGTATAGACCTAATGTAGAATGCTCATCCTTTCCAGAAATGCTTCCTTTCGGCTGAGATATCCCAAGCTTTTAGTTGGACAGAAAGGACAGATTGGAGACCCAGTTACCCATATGGGAAGTGATGACATCCCATTTGTCAACTCCCATGCTGGTAACCTTCTTCCCATCCTCTCCACCTGCCTAGCAATACCATAACATCCAAACATAAGGTTACCTGCCAAGAGCATCTGCCTAGCTCCTCAGTTGGGCACCACTCCCATTCTGGGGCCCACCTTCTCCATCCTTGTTCCAGCATGTCTTGTTCAAACTCTTTGCCCTTGTCTCCCATTTCACGCCTGTCTCATTTTGTCACTGGCACCTTCTGGTCCCCCCACAGCCACAGCTGCCCCTACCCATTTTTTTCCACCCTGAGATCCCGATCACGTCTCCTCTGAACCCTATAGGCAGAGTTGGCTCTATAGTGCTTTCTCCAGAGACCCACCTCTGCTTTTGGGGTTCACCAATAAAGCATGTTTCTTGAAAGCTCTCCCTGACCAGCTGGGGATGGGAGCTGGAGCCTTTCACTGCAGGCTCTTTGCTAGCTTGCACGATAAGGGCTTACACTTTGGTGTGGCAGAGTATGTGTGATCTGCACACACCATTTCACAAATGCTTGGGGAGAGAATAATGGGAGCTGAAAATATGAGACCTTTTGCTAGTTCTCTAGTTCCCTCCCACATGAGCACTGAGGTCCTTTTGCTAGCAGACAGATCCTGCTTCAGAGCCTATTTCTGGCCTGCCATGAGCCCCTTCTTCCTGGAGATGACCTGTGTCTCAGACGTAAGTAATGCTTGTTGTACACTCAACAAGTAATTCTTTACTAGTCACTTGTGTCAGGTTCAAGGTAAGGATTTTGACAGGTTCAAAAGCCAATATGGGTCCAAAACTGGGCATCTAATTTGACAGAATGGTATTTACTCTTAAGAACAAAGGCACGTGTTTATCTGAGTACAAGTGGAGGGGTCTTCTTGTGAGGAGACCAGAGCTCCATTGCATTGCCCTGCCTGTTTTCACTCGCTGCTTGGGGAGCTGGAGGTCTCTCCCTTAGAGCAGTAGCAATGTATTTACCTCCCTTTTTACAGGAATGGATGATGAATATTAAAATGCTGAAATTAACTTGTTTTCTGTGCATTCTGGTCTCCTGACAAGAAAATCCCCCTACAAACCCCTGTGCAGGCAGTCTAACTGTGCTGAATTGGACCCTTGCTGTGAGGGGATTATATATTCTGATTGGGGCTGCATTTGCAATTATTTTCTCTGCCACACCAAAGACCTTTACTGCAGAGCTGCAAACCAGTTATAGGAACATGAAATGCTTTGACTTCTTCACTAGGGAAACATTAATCCAATCACAGGTTATGTCCATTACAGACTATGGCAATATTGTATACAGGAATTCCCGGGAGAAGGTTCTACAAAAATTGGAATCTCTCTATAACCATGTTATGAGATTTACTGGTGTGGATAAAATGGGCAGAGTTAAAATTACCAGGCTGGCTATCTCTAAAAGACAGGTGAAGTCTGCTGGCTATCATTGCTTCATAATATTACAAATGGAAAAGCCCTGAAGTAATTGAATAACACATCTGCTGAAAAAACCTTGTGAACTGCTATAACCTAAAGATAGACTGCAAGGAAACAATGTATGTACAGCACCCAGTTAAAAGGAAAAAGATGCTTTCCTTACCTGGTGCAGGAAGATATCGCAAATGCAGACACATATTCTCTCTTTGCCTCGTAGAGTGTATGTGTGTGTGCTTTATATATATATATGTGTGTGTGTTCGTGTCTGTCTCTCTCTTTTCGTATAAAATAAGTTAAACCAGTTGCCTCAGCAGCCAGAGTCATGGTGCTGGATGGTAACAATTCATAAGCAGAGCTTACTCCGTTTCCTTTTGTACTGGAGGTTGCTAAAAATACTTGACATGACTTGCAAAGGAGCTGATTTCTGTCCCCTTAAAGTCTCTCTGTCCTTGTGCAGAAAAAGATTTCAAAGCACTTTGCAAGAGTTGATTAAGGTTTTCCCTGTGCTTTAGTATCAGTATTCAGTGGTCCATAGCCACGGTTTAATAGCAGAGAGCAACTTCACTGGGTCGCTGCAAGCCCAGGGCTACAGGGAAGATGTGCACCGATACAGCTGCTGCCGCCACGGCCAGGAGCAGTCTGTCCATATAAGCGCGTGCACCCTGCACGCACCGTTCAGCGGGGGAGGATGGCCCACAGCCTGCCGACTGCCTCAGCATCGCCCTGTAAATGCAACCGGGTCACCTCCAGGCACGGAAGAGCCAGGCTACCTGGAGCCACACACTCCAGACCCAGCAGAGCTGACCAACCATCGTCTCATCCGTTCTCTGGGGGTAAGTGTGCTATGGGCTGGACGTCTGTGGTGCATGGAGGGGATTTCAGATCCGGTCAGACACAATACATCCTTCTATGGTTCTGCCTGGGTATGGAGGAGCACCTCTCATTACTCATCTTCCTCCACATCTGGTAGCTCTGAGCAGAGATCCACGGGCACCTGACATGAACTGCATTGCAGCAGCATGGCTGTCAGGGGTTGTCATAGCTGGTCAATACAGGGAGGTGTGACTTATTTCATGTTTCATGCACCTCTCCATGGCAGACCAGCACACGTGGAAGGAAGGAAGATACACTTTCGAGAGAGTGAGTCTGGAAGGGTCTGAATCCTCCTGTGGAAGGAATACAGAGGAGGCTGAGAGCATAAGTACTGATGGGCACGGTATGTAAAAGAACTTTGAAATCAGAGTCCTCTTTTTTTTTTTCAAGAAGTTTTCCATTAAAGTAGTTCTTTATCATTGAAAATGTTTTAAAAAAATCCAAATTTACAAAATATAAAAATGCTGTTTTTCCAGTAAGGCTTGAAATTTACTGTCTGGAAGCAGTGGGAACAGAAACCATCCCGCTCTAACTTAAGCTTCAATATCAATAGTCTGGGTATATGAAGGAAGATTTTCTTACCAGCTAGTATTTGGAAGAAAAAAGTACTAGAGCGAGTTATGCTACTGGGGATGAAGTCTTTCTCACAGTCATAAGGGAGCCAATATCCTACTGTGATCCCCTGTTACATACACAAAATTATGCTGAGTATAAAGAGTCCCCTGTTCATTTTGCACATTTAGGCTGTTACTCCTGGTACTTTCAGCCACAGCAGCCTGAACAAATGCTGAGGATCTGTACACATTTCCCTTCTGTGCTAGGTGAGGGTGGGGGATTTTTTGGGTTTGCTCCATGTGTGTACCACTAAGGTTAATGAGGATTGTTCTGTAGCATTTATGACCCATTTTAAGGCTGGATTAATAAATTTCTAGAGGTGTAATTTTTTTAGGCCCCAAGTGTTATCCATCTTGTGTGATACAGTTGCGAGATGCCCCTTTACAGAGCTGTGCTGCCATAAATGGTGAGGCTGCTTGCTGGTGTTTGCAGTGCTGAATGCAGAGTGCAGTCCTGCAGGGAGGCAGCGTGTGCTGGGTGGGGAAGTTGTTTTCTGGCAAACCCATGTTGTACTTTAGCACTTTCATTTCTTTCTCCCCTAAGGCAGATTTCTTTTCCCTCTCAGTCGGTCACAGCCCTGTCACACTCCCAAAGAGTTTGAGCAGCTGATCCTGAGTCACCAAGTGGAAAATATATAGCATGTCTGGGGAGGCTTGACTAAGAAGTAGGAGGAAGAGGGGAGAAAAAAAGATGGAGAAGCATGATTTAACTTTCGCTCAGGAAACTGGTTAGAGCATAGAGGTGGCTCTTGCAGAGCTTGTGGTTCAGCACGCTGAGGGTTGGGTGAAACCTTTGGTCCTTTTAGGTGAAGAAGAGTTTTACTGTTTTTCTAAATAAAGCCAGGACTTCACCCTGAGAATCCTGAAAGCAACTCTCAGCTCTTCTATGGATCAGATGTTGCAAGACTTAGGACAAGGTGAGGCACATTTATTTCTGTGATTCATCTCTACCATCCAAAACCCCATGACGTTTCTACCTCATACTAATGTTGCTTTATATACCCTTTTTTCCATGTGAGGAAGCACCCATTTCTCATTAGCTTTTTCTTTATGAGCTACATGGATGTAGTAAGTGTGAAATGATGATGAAGTTGAACAAGGAAGCACCCACTTCTCACATGGTGGCCCAAGACTCGGGCAGCTGAAGTGAGTTGAAGCAGGACAGAAGTGGGTCACAGAGCCAATGAGGGAAGTGAATGAGACTCCACAGCTGAGCCATGGCAGCCAGCTGAGTGATGGCAGTGGCTGCTTGGCTAAATCATCACAGATGCTCCCAAGGCAGTGTTGGCAGAGAGTAAACAGTAATTAATAGTGGCTGTTAAATGCACATATTTTGTACCTCTCAACCTTGAAAAAATGGGGAGAAGGATTTTTGCAAAATACTTCCTTTTCTGTCACTTTCATGCTACATGTTCGTACACCATCTTCCTGAACCAAGCCCTCGTTTAGCCATCCTTCTTCCCAAACCATTCATCTGAGGCTTTCTGACTGAAACAGTCATAAACATCACAGTCCCCAGGTTATTAGTTAGTTCCACGCCCACGACATGATTGGGGGATCTGTGAGATGACAGAGGTTGTGTGGAAAGCCACACAGACAAAACCCCAGAAACCCACCCTGCCATTTGCTATAATCAGTGTAGGTGCCACCTTTTGGGGTTAATCTTGTTTGCTCAGGACAACCTCCAGATATCTCTGATGACAAATGAAGATTTCCTAAGCTTCCTTGCTCAACTTCATCGTAATTTCACACTTATTACATCCATGTAGCTCATAAACAAAAAGCTAAAAAGAACGTGCTTCATTTAGGCATTGCAGATAAGTACAGAGATGGTTAGCTGGAGTAGTTATGCCATGAATGCCAACTGTCCTGCCTCCTGATACAGTGGAGATGCAAGACATAATAGGGACAGTATGATGGTGCAAAAAAAATGGTCACAGCCAAGTTCTCCCTTCAACCCGAGGCATGTGGTATTTGAATGAAACTGCTTCCTAGTGCCAATGCTGTTTTTAAACAATTTAAATGATAAATTTCAAATCTGTAACTAAATTTAGAGCAGCCCATGTATGGGTTGAAAAAAAAATCTCTAATTTTCACTGATTTAGAAAAAAGGCAGCAGTCTGCACAGTGTGGGGCCAGAGGTGGAAACCCAAGCCCTGTTTTGAAACTGGGGTGCCATGTAGTGTGGAACATGCCAGGGTAAAAGGAGGGCATGTTCTTGGAAGGGGAACCTCTATTTAGAAATCATCAAGGGCCATCAGAGGGACTAGTGCTGTCCAGGGTAAATTTGCCTGAATTTTGTTCCAACTTCCTCACTATTTCAGCATCCAAATGCCTGCAGTTTGTATAAAAATGTGTTTGTATTCCAGGCTGTAGGTTCAAAACATTGGACTTGACCAAAGGCACAACTGAGAGGGACAGAGATGCATATTGCTGCTTCTTTGACATGACTTTATCAGCACGTTTGAGGGCAGTCTCCTGACTGCATCTTTCCATGATAACGGAGGGGGTGCCTGGGGGTAGTAACAACCCTCAGACATTTTTTTAATCCCTTGCTCTTAAATGCATGCAGGCCAAAATCCTTTGTTATTGTGAGTCCTCTGGGTGAACAGTTATAGGTGAGTTAATACAAACAATAATAATGATCACAAGCATATATGGATCAGCAGTGGTACAGACTAGCCTTGTGTTTCTGTACTTGAGAAGCAGCAGCACATCCAACATCTTCAGCCCTTGGCTGCCCCAAAGCATTTTCTTGTGCTGTTGGGAAGATGGGAGTGCCGTGTGTTTCTGGAGAGGGGATTAATCAGTGGAGCTAAACACCTACTAACCCCTTGTTACTGCCTGCCACAAACTTAATCAAACCTAACAGAAAGAAGGAAGCAGTCCCTGGTGTAACCATGGACAGCAGTCTGGCGTAACCCACACGGACCACGCACCCAGGCAGGGACGGGGCTGCTCACCGTGAATTGGGTACATCCCAATCCCGTCTGGGCCAGCTCTGGCATCAGAAAAGCAGTTCAGTACCAAAGCAAGCCACAAAGCTAATCATTCATCAGTCAGAACAACTGCACTGATGCCAGTGCAGAATAGCAGGAAAGACTCTATCCCCATGTACTTTTAAATCATCAAGCTAGTAAGTACCCTGGCTTATAAGATGTAATCTTTTAAATGCAGTATGGATTTCTTCCCTGAATTATGCATGATAACATCTTTAAGCATGAGCTTTATTTTTTTTTACTGAAAGAGCTGTCTTTTAGTGGTGGTGGTGGTAATCACTGTGTTTTACAATTCAGCAGGCTGGCCCGGGGAAGGCTCCCTATCGCTAGACAATCTCTGCTAACTTCCTAGGAGTGTTTGGCCCTAGGATGGTGCCAGAGCATCTCCAGGAGATGTGAGGCTGTTAACCCACTGGTTCAACAAGCTGATAGTGGTCTCCAAGCAAAAGTAGCCAAATCGCACATTGAGAGAGATCAACAGGGGAAAAAGGAATGAATACTAGGATTTCAAAGGTGACCGGACAAATTGAGATCAAATCTGGTCACACACAGTCCCCATCTGGGGCTCACTGGTTGCTCAGGGGTGTATGGGGACCACACACTACGCAAGAGGCAATGCGCAGAAATTCAAACAAATACATGAAATTCCTTCTGACCACAAGAAAACACTTTTTAACTGTGAGGGTGATCAAATGCTGGAACAGGGTGCCCAGAGAGGCTGTGGAGTCTCCATCCCTGCAGATATTCAAAACCCAGTTGGACATAGCCCCAGGCAACCTGCTCTAGCTGAACCAGCCTGAGCAGAGGGGATGGACAAGATGATCTCAAGATCCTTTCCAACATCATCCATTCTGTGATTCTGTTTCCTGTTTCTTATACTTGTTTCTGACAATTTTACTGGTCATTTTGCAGCAAGCAGTGTAATAATATCAATATTTAACTCTTTTGCAGCATTTTTCACTCCTTGATCTGCAATGCCTTTAATGGGCTTTGTAGTTCATCATCTTTTTAACAGCTCGGGGCTGGGGCAGTTAGAAAACCAATTATTTCCCTTAAGACATTCAGGAAGATAGGGGCAGAGGGACCAAATTTCCCGAGTGTCACCTCCCATTCCTGGACCAGCGCTGCAACTGCAATGCCTGGGTAAGTGGTATTTCGAGAGAGATGTCTGGTGTACCTAGCACCCAGTGACAGCAGAGGCTGAAGGCGCTGGATGCAGCACTCTATCCATGGATGCAGCCCTTGGACTGTAAATCACAGCAAAGGAGAAATGCTTCTGTGCTTTGCCAGGGAGACAATGGCGCAGGCAGCTCTGCTCTGGTGAGCTCAGCTGAACCACAAACAAGC